CTTGTACAACCATATTTAACCACTTGTTTCGATTGGTGTTACAATTGCATTTCGTTTTGGATAGAGACTGCAGTAGTCGTTAAAATTGAAGGTCTGCAACTAAGTTTGTACAAATATTTCGACATGAAGAACAATTTTCGCAGGGTTCACTTATTGTTCGAATATGTATTCGTTGTTTGGCAACTAGCTATATTTGATTTAGCCGGTTTCGCTTTAGGTTTTTGGGAACTCCGGAAATTCGTATCTTCGTTACGTGCTACTCAGTGGATTTGACGCAACGTAAGTTCTTCGGTTTTAACGGCTCCGCTCATTTGGCTGAAGATTTGGTTCGTTCCCATTTGGAAACAAGTTACAATATCTAGAATATTCCGTCCCTTCCAATATGTCTTCGGATCGCGGAAATCGATCTGCTAAACTAGTTCTCAAAGCTGGATCCAGACACATGAGAAAAACTCCACCTGTGGGCAATAATCTTGAATTTTCTAATGATTTATGTGGTGATAAAGAAGATAAAGTGAATGCGGATGGTATTAGTATGCTTGGTTCATGTGGTATGCCTAATTCTAATAATTGTCAAGCACCTAAGTCTTGGTCGAAGGAGAAAAGGTTTGAAAAGGAATAACGACCAAACGCCGCATCGTCTGATGATGTAGTAGGAATTGGGGATATGACGAGCAGTCGTTCTAGGTCTAAGAATGCTGCAGGATTGCCCAGGCCCAGTGACATAGGATATAACTTTGCATCAGATCTGAGAGATTGTTCGGCCTCGATGGTAAACAGTATCTCTTTACCGAAGGTAGAACTGATGCACTTTGATGGACAGTCAAGTCGGCACCAGTTGTTTATGAGTCAGTTTAGAAATACGATAGGGGTTAAACTTACTGACAAAGGTCAGATGCTGTCCTATCTCCTACACCTTTGCAGGGGTGAGACGGGGACAGAGATAGAAGCATGTAGTTCACTGCCTGCTAACCTGGTATACGATAGCGCTAAGGAAATCCTTCATGATTTATTTGGACAGGAGCATATGATTGCTCGACCACTTATTGATGACTCGGTTAGAAATAGACAGCCGGTGAAGAATACTATCGAGGCTATGAATGATTTCTCCGTGAAGCCTAGAAATGTACAAATAATGTTGTCCCAGACCGGATTTGAATTCGCCGGTCAACTTGGAAGCTATTATTGATCGGCTGCCCATAGATTTGCAAGGTAGATGGGCTAACGAAGCGGGCAGGATTCTCGTCACCGGGACGGAACCCGAATTCGAGGACTTGGTTTGCTTCGTTGAGGAGAGAGCCAGAGTATCCCGGTCGAGATATGGCCTGTTGATGAGACGCAATCTGGAAGGCGATCGAGTGAAGGGTTCTAGCCCAAAATTCCAAAGTAGATTACACTGCAACCTAGTGGGTGATGCCGTTCATTCGACAAGTGATAGACCGCACGTAATATGAGTTGCATCTCATGTCATGAACCTAACAATCTACCTGAATTTCCGACTGACGAAAGAGGATCAGTGGCCAAGCTGTTTGGTGTCTGCTACAGTTGTTTAAAGGGTCGTGTTTAAGTTTTGCAATTCCGCACTTAAGTGCAAGTTTAAAGATTGTAAAGTAGGCCATCACTCTTTGTTGCATTTAAGTGGACCCTGAATCCAAAGCAACTGGATCAATAACCCACTTGAAGAAGGAAGTAAAATCTGCTAAAGTGAATTTGGGAGGTGTCCCGGTGAGACTGACGGGTCCAAGAGGGAGCACTGAAACTTATGCGTTACCGGATAACTGATCAGACAGATCATTGATATTAGAAAATATTGTCAGGGATCTTGGCCTTATTGGTAGGAGGTTCCCCCCGAGTGTGACTACGGTCACTAAGAGTTCCCGGCGCAAGTGCTTGAAGGCAAGTGTGGAGCCCTGCTAGCTGGATGGACGGGGATCAGCGAAGGTGCAAATGGCTTACACTGTTAGTCACCTACCAGTATCAGACATGCATACCCCGCCTGAACGGCAGGTTAAGGCCTGGAGCCACTTGAAGGACACCAAACTACCTCGACTACATAGTGATACTGTTGGAATCCCTATATGATGTGATGTTCCGGATGCTCATTGGGCCCGGGAACAGCGCATTGGGAATAGAAATCAACCGTTTGTAGTAAGAACCCACTTGAGTTGGGTTGCATTCGGTCCGAAGCAAGACAAGTCCTCACGTAAAGTTGCCTTTTGCCAGCGTTCGGATAACTGTAATCTGTCTGATAGTCTAGACAGGCTGTGTGATCATGTGTTCAGAGGTATTAGCAGCTCCGGCCCAGTGCTTTCAGTGGAGAATAAAAGGGCAATTGAAATTGCAGACCGGCCCCCCAGGTTAGTCTACGGGCATTTCGAGGTTGGGCTACCCTGGCGGTTTGACAGGCCTAGTCTGCCCGGCAATTATGTAGCGGCTAAAAGTAGACTCGAGTGTCTAAGAAAACGATCAGCAAAGGACAGCGGTCTACCCGAGAGGTATGAAGAAGCTAGCAGTCTTTCTGGGGTACTCTTGAGATTTGGAGTTGGGGTCATCGCTACTGCAAGCCAAGTAGAAGAAATGTTGTTACAAGTCACGATTCCTGAGTTTGACATCAGAATTTCGTCTCTTGCCAGGAAGGCGCGGTAACATGGATCCAGGGGCTAATGCATGCCAGTTAACTGTTCATCAATTTGGTATGGTCTCATTGCCTTTCTGCGCGAGCTATGAGCTCAAGAAAACATGGAGACCTCCTGTATCGGAGAGCATAGTGCGGCCAAAGAAGTTGGTGATGAAAGGTTCAATGCAGATTATTTATCTCCCACTGATGGCATCTCTAACACCATTCTCTTATTTCACCCCTCAAGGTGCGTTTCAGATAGAGAAACTTCACACCGAAACAGGGAGATCTGCAACTGTTTACCAGTTGTACGGTTGATATCTCAGAGTGAACGAAGCCAGGGGTCTAGCTTAGAGAGGGCCAAGAATAAGCTGGATGAATGCTTGAGAGAATGTAAACGCAAGGTGGTCCACAGTAACTTGCTTGGTAAAGGGATTGATTGGCATTGCAATCCACTGGTGGCAAGCCACTGGAGCGGGTTTTGGGAACGTGTGATTCATACACTCAACAACCATCCATTGGTTCCACTTATTTCCGTAGTTGAAGACCTTGCAGCACTAACTTCAACAAAGTTGTTGCTGTTGAGAGACAACTTAGAAGGGTTTGAGGGCACATGCAGGAGTGATAAACTTTCTAGGGGACGGCGACAAGTCAGTTATCTTGGGGAAGTGGCTCGGAAACGTTGGTCCAAAGAGCGTGTTGCACTGTTGTGATAACGACATAAGTGGACGAATTCTGAGAGAAACGTCCAAGTAGGTGACTCAGCCATGATAGTGTCGGACACTGAAGATAAGAATAAAGGGCCTTTGGACCAGTACAGCGAGCGGTGTGCAGTGAGGGTAGGTCAGCCAGAAAGGTAAGACTAGAAACAGTGAAGGGAAGGATCCCTAGACACATTCGTAAGGTTCCTCCTAGAGGCGCTGGATGAAAGGTGATCAGTAGGGAACCCCAGGCGTACTGCTGTAAGTCCTGGAGACCACTTAGGGATATACGTATGCTTGTGTCCGTCTGTCTGATGCGATAAATGTTACTGGATGCTAATGGTCGTGAAAAGAAATTAAAGTTCCTTGGCGGGGCAGTGTTGAATGTGTCTTGATTAGTTCTTGTAATGTATTCAAAAACATTGACCACGCATTTTGTTTAAACTCATTCAATTTGCTTGTACAACCATATTTAACCACTTGTTTCGATTGGTGTTACAATTGCATTTCGTTTTGGATAGAGACTGCAGTAGTCGTTAAAATTGAAGGTCTGCAACTAAGTTTGTACAAATATTTCGACATGAAGAACAATTTTCGCAGGGTTCACTTATTGTTCGAATATGTATTCGTTGTTTGGCAACTAGCTATATTTGATTTAGCCGGTTTCGCTTTAGGTTTTTGGGAACTCCGGAAATTCGTATCTTCGTTACGTGCTACTCAGCGTGACTCGGTGGGACACTTAAGAGCCCCACTTTGCCGACTTCTGACCGATTATTGGTAGCTGTTGAACCGTAACTGAGCAGCTTTCACACCCAAACAAAAATATACTTCGAATAATGAATTATGCGGACACAGGCCGTTTTCATAGGCAATATGAGAATGTCATTTTCTCACTTAAGATGAGAAGGCTTAGAAGGAATAAATCATCAACTTCCGGAGTAAGTGACTGTTTGAGTATTGCTGATCACAAATGCTGGGTATGGGCCATTTTGATACACTGCAGCGTCGGGAATTAAAATGGATGTAGTCACTGGGCATTAGAAGCATCCTGACAATAGTGGGTTGCATGTTACAAGGCAGAAGAAGGACGGATTTCTCCGAATTTCCGTGCTTACACTATCATGAAGAGAATTTTTGAAAATGGCTACGAACAGGTCCGCAGATAAGTCCTGTAAAATAGAACTTGCGACGTGGGTTCAGGCTCATTAGATCATATATCATGAATCTGTTTATGGTGCCAGACAACTGGCCCACTTTCATCGAAAATACGCTGTATATGGTATATTGTGGATTTTCTAGAGGCTTTCAACAAGTCTAACCGGAGCTTGGTGTTACTGAAACTTAGAACTCCCTGCATAACGTGACATTGGTTGGGACAGCCTGAAGATCACCACAGAAGCAGAAGACTGACAGGTTCTGGTCACCGTTGTCTTACCGGTCAACGGTCTTCAGCAGGGCTCCTCAGAGCCTTAACGCTTGATCCCTTGTTATTTACAGTCCACGTTAATAGCCCAAGAGGCTCTTTTGTTCCACACTCGCTGCTATATGGAGATAAAGGGAAGATATAGCAGTGTCTTCTATGTGAACATTCGGTGCTTTGGCACAGCCTCAATCGTTTCAGTTCAGTTAATCGTCTATGAGTAGGGCTGACAGCGTCCTTAGTTCCTGCGGGCAGCTTCAAGATGTCTATCATCGAAATTGTTCAAAGCGCTGTTTTGGATGTAAATCAGGCTGGATATCGTAAGGAACTGTGTGTTTACGCCTAGGCCTTCAGCATTGACACGCTCACATGAAACTTGACGTCAGTTAGTTCACAGTACGGATATACACTTTGTGGAGTTTCACCCTTATGGTTACAATACTTGCCTGATTGCTAAATGCCATCAAACGGGGGTTGAAGTTTAACACTGAGATCAATGAGGCTGATGCATAGTACTCTGCTTGTTTGCCGTGTACGAGTAGTCGTCAATGAATGCTGCCTAAGATGATTTGCCAATAATAATTTCCTTCTAGGGATTTTACCTGCACCAAATTAACAGACATGCGGGTCATTCATTAGCTCTTCGTACTTGTAGAATACCTATGATCAAGAGAGCAGGTCAGAAGGCCGTAGAGTAGCCAGGACGTGATCGACCGTGCCAAAATACCAATGGGTTTCGACCAACTGGCTAGTGTATCGCGTACAAGCCACGACAAAGCGCCAAATGGCCTCGATGCTTGGTCGCATGCCTTTACCCTAGCCAGTTCGTTAAAACTATGAAAGCTGACTCCAATGCTGAATTCCGTTACACCCCAAGCTGGCAATTTTGAGGGAATATCCAGGGCTACATCAACTGCTTCCTTGTAAAGCCGCAATGAGTTGCTAATACTAACAAAACTCTGTGCTCGAATCTGCTTCTGATGCCATGGAATCAGAAAACGGGGAACTGCTAATCCACTTCCTCCGAAGACTAAGACTTGAACCGACTGTCACCTTTTATTCTCACAGGTTTTTAATAAGCTGTTTTCGAAGCAAATACAAAACAACCAATAGCGTCGTGCTTTGTTCATCTGTTATCTAAGGGTGATACTATGGTGTTCATCAACAAAAAACAGACTCTAACCATACCATTGCGGTGAACGCAACTGAGTCTATCACCCGGAAGCGAGAACTGCCACTTACAGCTACGTAAATTTATTCTCAATTCGGAAGTTTTTTCCGTTGCTGATTCGTAGTCATCTGAACCGTCCAAATGCTGTAGTTTTCGGCTGTCCTCGGAGATAACTCACCAAGAAACATCTTCCTCGGCCTATACATACGTACCTGGAATATTTGTTTAACTTGCTAATGACGTGGTGCAGACCACTAGGCCACAAGCTATAACTCGTTAAAAGAGATTAGCAGACGGTCAGAAAGTAATCTGTACAGAAAAGGCGGGAGCGACAAGGGGTGCACAATCCAGGATCTATGCATATGCCATATCATACGCAGGATTTTCCGAAGCCAGTGGACTTTTGTATTCGAAGTTATAGTAATGCAACCCAAACATCTCTTTGACAAAACGGAAATACGAAGAAAACGCGTATTTCGAAAAGAAAGTATGCCCACATGCACCTTAGTTGACCTCAAATCTCAGAGGGCAAGCAATACGGTCTTCGAGAAAGGGCAAACCTCTGACAACTATGGTGTTTCCAACGCATCACTGACGGAGGCTCAAGAAGCTTTCACGTGCAACGTTTGTCTAAAATGAGCCCACTGTGGTTGTGATGAGGTTATACCAGGCCAGTAACGCAGCTTCATGACGAAGCACTCATGCGAGTGGTTGTGATGCACGTGTCCAGAATGTCGGAAATTACTTGTTATTGCCCCCGCAAACCAATGAACTGGGTACAACTCAGGATATTACAAAATACAAACTCTCGAAATCTAATCACGGAAACTGGGCAGGCTCCATGGGCGCCCACAGGTGTCAAGCCTAGAGATAGAAAACTAATAGTTCCCGCTCCAAGCGAGATACCAGCAAAGTCCTCATTTCTCTTATCCATACAACCCAGACAGTCCAATGAAATTTAACAACCCGAAGAAATATATCGTCACGAGGACAAGTGGACGGCAGTAAATGCGGGAAAGGGTCAACCAAAGGCACTAGCCATCAAACCCAATACTCTCCGCTTACAGGGCTGGAGAACAGACCCAATCATTTTGCTAAGTGTCCCCACACCGGTGGGCTCACTCTTGGAAAAACAGAGCAGTCTAACAGGGAGAAATTGGACAGCCACTGCAAGAAGCTGAAAACAGAACCCATTATGATCGGCTTATGCCAGCTGTCTCCAGAAGGTAGGGCACTTCGAGATAAGCCGTCAACCCCCAGGGTGTCACTGATGACCGTGAAAAAGTTGGGGAACACACTACTGCTGTCGCACCGACCAGAGATCGCAGGCTCCTGAGTCAGATAAACCGTGGGTCACCAGAGGGGCGGAGAGAAATTTCACACTTAATGGTTTTCACTAAGCTGCAATCGAAGCGGTTCATGGAATTACTGAACAGGTGGGCAGGTCCAGAAAATGTAACGATTATCTCCATAATGTTAAGTATTATAGCGGCTGGCATTAAAATTAGAACCAAAAACTTTACCTGCCAGCAGCATGAGTAGATTATCAAGACCTACTGGAGAACGTTCAGAGGCGAGCCACTAAAAGAGGTTGTTAGGATGGACCAAAAACCATACGGGGATGGATTAGAAGACCTAGACCTATGCTCCCTTAGTTACCGAAGTAATGGGGTGATTTGACAGTGGCTTAAGAAATACTGAATAACCCAGCCCACCCGAAAAGAGGAATACCACCAAAAGGCCACTTTGGTGATCCTCAATGAAGCCCCAAGAGAGTTGTCCACTAAAGGCCAGAAACTCGTGTGCGTTCACACTTCTTCTCCCTTGGAGTCTGTGGGCACTGGAATTCATTGCCAGCAGAGGTGGTCTCCATCCCTCCTGTTGAAAGTTTCAAGGTAAGGCCATATAGCTACGCAGAGACCCACGGTTTGCGCTCATCTAGTCGAAATACGAACTGGACCGAAGAAATCAACCGCTATCACACCATTCCAACCATGTTACCTCTACACCAATTTTCTCCTCATTGTAATCATTTAAGCCATTCTCACCTCCTTCACTCGCTGTGAGTTGGCCTCCTATCTTTGCACCCCTCTCATCCTACTTGGGTGTGTGTAGATTGCACCATCAGCTCACTTTCATTTGCCTTTTGCTGAGGCCGTTTGTCCTCCTAGGTCATCGCTTCACCATCCCCAAGCCTTTCTAACGGCTGGTCTGGACAACTGTCTGACAACTTGGCATCCGAAGAGCGCAACTGCATGATAGTCCAAAGCAAAGGAAACCATTACTCAAAATCCCGGTTCAGTACACCAGAGCTACAGCAGGCAAGTGGCTGGATCTACTGCATCGGAATTTGCCAAAGACCTGGGATCGCCCCGCAAATCCAAGAAGCGAGCACGAAGAAGTCAATTGGTTCACACAAGCTAGTTAAACGGATTTCGTATACAGAGGGAATATCGCCACCCGGAATAATCTTTTTCCGAAAGGACGGGCAGTTCAAAGATAGCAGGGGAGTAGTCAATACGTTGGCATCAACCTTAAAGTCAAGGAAGTGACTCACAGTGTATCTGGCCAGCTGCAAAACTCCTTGTGGTGCCAATTCACCACAAACCGAACAAAGTACCTGTCGAAAGTAATACGCCGGTCTACCCTATGCCCAACAGATTAAGGCACAGCTGCTTATCATTTCGATACCCGCCTGGGCAGCCTGAAATCATGTAGTTCCCGCTGGAAACTGTAACACACCGGGATTTGTCTTGGGATGTACACAGAGCGGCGGACATGTACCCTTTGAAAATGGATTTCAAAACACACGGTGACGGGGCTAATAGAGATGTCTGGGGGAAACCAGGTAATGGGGACAATTTGGAAAAACATCACGATTTCACTAGGTTCTAACAGACGATGATAATAAGGTGTGCGATACCTGTGTCTAGCAGTCCAAAGCAGAAGCGAATGAGCTTTGGTGAGACTTTCCTTGATAACCAACGGGGGGGGACTACAAACAGTTGACCTAGAAGCGTCCCGCTCCTACTGAGAGGCAGATTACCACTGCGCGAGCAACGACTCCCGGAGGCCCGACAGTGGCACTCAGTGTGGATAGGCGGACACTGGACGCTTCTTAAAGGTATCATCTGGAGCGCTGTCAAAAGGAGTGTTTTGAAAGTAAGTAGACGACCACCTCTCAAACAGTCTTGGAAGACTAGTGCCACCTAAAGGCAAACAGGAGAAAGGTCGGGGATGGTATAAATGGGGCACATCAAACAGGGTATTGGGCTTTCTTAACTACAAGAAATTGCTCACCGCATGTATTAACGAGTAAATTACCAGAGTAACCGGCCTAAACAGTCAAGTTGCACCCCTCAAAGCCTATGTCACTTTTACGTCACGAAACCTTTTAAGTAGGGTCACATGGTCGAGCGAGGAACCCTTGGAAAGCAGTGTGGTGGCAAAAATATTGAGCAGCCGATGTGACGCGCGGCTCCACGCAGCAGTGAATCGACTACCATCGTCCAGTAACTCAACATTAGTCCCAGGACTGCGATACTAAGCTGCTGAATGTAAAGTTTTTGTCAAACCAAGTGTTTGCGAAAGTCTTAACACTCGGAATAGGGAAACCCCCGCTCTGCGACGTCATAAGATCGGTAGCCCTGCGGAATCGTGCCGAAGTGAAGAGCAAATGTATGCGTAATCTGTTCATGAACTCACTGGAAGTAAGCCAACTGCTCAGAGAATGGAAACGTGCCATCATTTCATCAATGTTCAAAGGAGGAAACCAGGAAAATCCGCGCGATAACAGCCCGACAGCGTTACTTATCATACCGTCAAAGTTACTGGAGAGCCCATTCGCAAATGTTGGGACTAACTACACGGAAACAATATCCTTCTTCCCCACAAACACTGCCTCGTAACCTGGAGGAATGCGAGGTGATGTGTTTTCGTACGCCAGAAACGATGAAATCCAGCTATACCCCCAAGAAATGCTTAAGTAACAGGGACCTGGGACTGAAGTTCTCTTACTCAGTTGATACTGGAGTTAACTATTGGGAAATGGCGGCAAAGGCAAAAGCGATCATGCTCTTTGTGAACAGGCGGCTTGAAGCGTTAAGACCCGAGTAATTCCTGATGATGTTTAAAATCGATGCTGGCCAGACCTTGAAGTATTGAATGTGGTAGCCACCCCTCTACTGAGGATAGACACGTTGGGTCTCGAGAAGATACGCAGAAGTGAGACAAGGTGGTTTGTCAGACCAACGCGCAAAACGTGGTCAACGCTTTAGACAACTCAGTTTACCATAAGCTGTCGGGGGAAAAGAGGCGACCTAATAACAGGACGAAGACGACTGTGAGATCAAATTTCCCCCCTCAGAGTGCGCCTTTCGCAAAGCTCTGGTTAGGGACCTAGCCACAGGTACATCAGTTGACACCTTTAAACGACTCCCAGATAAGCACATGAATGCAAGCAGTCTACCGAGAACGTTTATTGGTAGCTACTGAAGGTATGCTGATTCATCCTTGTATTCCCCAACCCTAGTACCTATAATAATATCCATCCATCCCCCATAATTTTACCAGTAACACATCTTCAACTGGTACTTTTAACTCCGCTTTTTCTCATTCCCCACCCCGTCCTATTTCAGGAACTTTTCAGGTGACTCTTAATACTTACTCACAGGTGCTTAAGAAACAGGAATTGCTAAGGGTCGATTGATTTTATCAACATCTTCGTTGTTTCCCCAAATAAACGAAGCTACCATTTGTTAGGAAGAATGCTACCAAACAGACAATCACTACCTAAGAAGCCATATGCAGGGAAAACCTACTGACTTATGTAACCGTCGAAAGAGAATGACCAAACAAAAAGAACCGAGCCTCAAGATGGATAAACGAGGGCTGAAAAGTTACCACGATATCAATGATATCCGTAGTACTGTGAATCCCTTCTACTTTAATCTACTTCTAAGTCTACCGATCTTATCCCAGTGGACTGAAATTATTGAATCAAAAACCACTAGTTTTCTACGCTCGCATTAGCAATATGGGATGGTGTTGGATGCAGCAGCGCTAATAATGTAATGCTGCGCTACGAATAAGTCATTTATCTACTTAAGAGTTTTTATTCTGGTATGCCATTTTCACCAAAATAATGGATGTAACATACTACCTGTAGTTTCGTTTGTATCATGCCTCGTATACCATATGATTTCTGTGAATTTCAACTCAGGCCTTTACATAAGCCGCTTGGTTTTCGATTCCATTATATTACTTAGTTACTTATTTTTCATTGTGCCGAGCTCCAGATACTTATATCTGTGTCGGAATATCGTAGGTTAAGTTCTAAGTTGTCAACGGTTTCCCAGAATATCCTTTTCATCCGTCTGATTCTTCTGTTCAACATATATGTTGAACAACGATGTTGCTTGATATCTCCCATTTTGCCCTGATGGCTGACGATATGAAGATATACGTTGTAGTTTCGTCCTTCAGTTCAGTTTCTGGGTGGATGTTGAACTTGAACTGTGTTCTATCATCACCAGGTTTTGTGAAGGCATTCAACTTGATTTTGAAGTTAGGTTCCTTGCACTAGATAGTGAGTGGTGTGAACCTACATCTTCTCCCCCTCCTTGGTCTTGTGTCCAGTAGGCTGTGTCTCCATCTCCACTTTCTTCACATTGAGATGAAGTCGATCTGATGTTTAGTGTGTCCTGGTGTCTGGTGAAATCAAATCCATGTCGCTGCCTTGTGAATATCCTTGTGCTTGAACACAGTGCCTGACTCCAATCACCAAATCGTTGAATGCACATAAGTCTGCAAACAGTTCTCCATTCTCATTCGTGATCTCACTGATTGCTCCTCCATCCGTGATTGCTTCTCTTCGTGTGTTGTCCACTCCCAGTTTGGTATTCATGTCACCCCGCCGATTAGAATTTTGATGTCGCCATCGCCAACTGGGGAGGTGTGTTGTTTATTACTGATTGCAGTTGTCTGTAGAATTCCTCCTTCTTTGCTTGATCTGCTTTATTATTTGTAGGTGTGTGGTGTAGCATTGCATAGTTGTGACTGCTTCCTTTTGAGTTGAATCCATCTTGCTGTCTTGATGGTGATCATGCATGGGGAGATTGGTTGCCACTGCATGAGAGAGAGCCTTCGATGGTGTTGGGTGCATCATGATAGCCACTGGAAAACTCAGTGTGGTTGTGGTTGTCGTCTGGGTGACAATATCGGAGTAGATTATTGACTGTTTAGTTGACAGTTTGTAGAGTCCACTTGAATTCGATCTTCATATTCCTGGCACTTCTATGCCATACCTTCTCATCTCTTTGGGAATCTGGGCAGCCTTACCAGCGAGGCAGCCAGGTTGAAATATTGTGCGGAGATTCCATGTCCCCATGTTTACTTTTAGTTTCATCTAGGGAAGGGGGGGATCCATCGACCAATTGGCTTTCCGAAGGCTTCCACCAACCGGCATCATTTCGTCTCCCGATTCCAGTGCGGAATGAGTTTGTTTTTATTTTTTGTATTTTCTTTATGCTTAGAAGTTCCTTTAGCGGTTAGGTTGGTTTTACGGGATAGGGTTGCTAGCCGTATGCCCAACCTTCTGTATTTATCCTGGCTGAGGACCGGCTAGTAACTAATAAACTAGTAAACTAGGCGAGGTTAGTGGAATCATTTATACCCACAATAATCCATACAACTAACTGATCACATGAGCTAATTTACGAGTTTCATCTGTTGTATAAGATTTACTGGTACGTGGAGTTGTGGCTCATTGTTTCATGGAGTTGACTTTAAACCAGTAAGTGGGTCGCTGATTCAAACATCGCTCCACCTACCGAGGTTTGGGCAGCTAGATAGTATCATTAACCCTCACACAATATGTGCGGCTCATTGCCTACTGTATGAATGTACATTGGGTTGCTGAGTAGATTTTGATTTTCTATTAGTGGCCCAAGATGGATACCCAAATTTTGTTATTTGAAATGGGAGTCAGATTGACAACCCGCTGTTTGAATCTCACCTGTAAGACAATGAGCTATATCACATTGAGATGTAGACACATCTGGTTGCTCCGGCTCAAATGGGATTTTCTTAAAATCATCCACTAGTGAGTTCTGTCAACCGTGTTGTTTAATTTACTGTTCACTTTCTAGTAATAATACAGTGATGATACAGATTAATGTCATCTCATTTAGTTTTTATGTTTTAGATCATATTCCTTATTAATTTATCTTTTCAGTCTTCTACAGTTCAAGAAAGTTATATTAAGGTTATCAGTGATTTTAGTCGTGATAATGATGTATAATTATGTTCTCTGTAAATGGTATTAATCACTAAAATATATTGTATTAGAGAGCCGAGAGGCTAAGATTGCTTTTCTTTTGTGTGCTTTGATGTATTTTTCGTTTTTCCCTCACATGCATATATTTTCGTCTGGATTTATTTTTTGGAAGTTACTTGTTGAAGTTTTCGTATATTAAACGTGAATTGTATGTTAATATTTTTTTTATTGTAGCCTATTTGTTTCCACATTGAACAGTAGTTGTCAACATAAATGTGACAGTATGGTTAGGCTAAATAGTTTTTGTAGATGTACCTCAATAACTCTGTTTCATTTTCTAGGCGGTTGGTCTTTATATCTAAATATGCTCCTATTCATTGAATCTGGTCAACTGAGTAGTGTCATAAGCCCTCACAAAATGTGTATGACCCATATCCTGATCCATTTGCCTGTACAAAGTCACCATCCAACTAATAGCTGCTACCTTGACGTGGTGATCGGGCTTGCATATCACAATAACCCAACCAGCTATGCTGGTGGAACACTTGTTCCCTGAAAACCTACCATACCAGAAAAGTCTGTTAAATAGCGGTTAGACGAAAAGCAGTTACCGTTGTACAACAAATTACTGCACTATGATGGGGGTTCTGAGGGCGAAGTCGTACTGCTGCTAGCCGGATGGGGTGTGGCAACAGTAAGGTGTTTCTCTTGGATGACCAGCAGTTCCATACTGATGCTGCCTTCTCAGTGGAAGGGGGAGAGTTGGAAAAGGTCAGCACCCAAAATAACACACTCCAGCTTTACTCCACGGTCTGCCGGGGCGGTGATGTTGGTTCATTTGTCGTTTCTTTTCTACCATCAGGCCCCCAAAAACCAAATTTCGAAACAACCGTACACAAAAGCTGCGTGTGACAGGCCCCACGCAGATGTCCGATAGGCTCTGCAGTCACACAAATCTCTTTCAGGTACCTTAAGAAGACCTAACCTTTCACAGTGTAGGCAGCTGAGAAGTGTGAACCGCCCTCACAACCCTATCAGTGCTCAAGTTCCCTCAGACCACTGGCCACCTCCCTCATCCTTCCCTTGAAACTTCTTTCACGTTTCTCAGTCAACAACCCTACATCACGTTTGATTTCTTCTTGCTCTGCAGCTTTCGACAACGATCTGAATCCACAGAACAGCATTGTTGATCTCCTTAAACCACGCTCCAAATTACGTGTTGGAGCCTTCAATGTCCGCACCCTCCGTCAAACTGATCAACAGGCTTCCTTGGCCAAAACTCCAGCAACTTGGGCTATGGATGTGTGCTGTGTTTCTGAGACACTCATATAGGACCCAAGTGGGGTTATTTACTTAACCCCTCCCTATCAATATGGTGAATCCGCAAAATTTACCCTTCGAGCTTCTGGAGATTCGATGGCTAGCTCTCGTGGTCTTGCAGGTGTAGGCATAGCATTAAGCACTAGGGAAGAATGCTCATTGCTAGACTAGATTCCAGTTGATAGTCACATATGCGCTGAATGACTTAGTCAGAGCTAAGAGCAATAGTAAAACTCGCCGTTGTCTCTTTGTAATCTCTGCTTAAGCACCCACTGACTGCAGTTCGGATGAAGTGAAGGACGAGTTATACCGAAAACTGTCTAGCCTTCTAAAAGTCAAACGTTGAGATGTGGTTGTTGTCGTAGGTGATTTAAATGCACACGTGAGTAGACTGAGCCAGGCAGAAAAGCATTTAGGTGGCAATTTCGGAATCCCGATTGAACGAACAGATAATGGTGATCTCCTACTACAACTGTGATCAGATAACCGTTATATTTCTAGCTAGTAAGAACTTCAGACATAAACAAAAACATTGTCTAACATGGCATCCACCGAGCTCAACTCAGCGATGGACACACAGACCATATTGCTATCAGTTGTCACTGGAGTGGGTTTGTGAAAAACTGCCACTCCTTCTGGAGCACGTGTTTGGATAGCGACCACGCGTTGGTTCGAATGTGTATATATCTGCGTCTCAGTGGACGCAGGAAAACTTTAGCAACAAGACTACTACGAGTGCTGCTGGACAACGAAAACACCAAAGCCGCTTTCAGTGAAAAATTGGCTAGGCAGTTATCGGAACAGAACACTATCACTCATCAAGAAGTTCAGTGGTATCTCTAGTCTGCTCTAAAAATAGCGTTAAAGACCATAGCTGACTTTCAAAAAGTGGTTAAAAAGAACCAGTGGACATCAGCAGCTTCTTCTGAATTAATGGATGCGTGCGAACGCATCCCTTCAGGCTCGGAGTACAATAAGCCGGGAACGCATCTCAAATGTAGACTGACAAAAAGTCTACTCAATGATTATCAACAGCGGTGGGCAGCGAAGGCTAAAGAGACGGAAGAGGAAGCAGCGATAGGTATAATAATAATAATAACAATAATAATAGTAATAATAGTAATAATAATTCGCTTTATTCCAAGGTAACAGTAGATAATTATTTATTCAGGAAACTAGGGCGTAAAGGTCAACGGTTAGTGAGACTATAGCAGAGAAGGACAAGTTTGCGATTCAGTCGCAAGCGAAACGACTGGAACGGTGGGTAGAACTCTTCGAGAAGCAGTTCAACTGACCTCCAGCTACTATTGCATTACTTTCTATCCAGTCGGATCCAGAATGGAACGTCGAGACAGGCTCCCAACACTTGCAGAAGTCAAGAAAGCGGTAGGTAACTTGAAACGAGGAAGGGCAGCTGGGCCAGGCGGACTAGTTCCTAAGACATATAAGGACAGTGGTAGAGTGTTTTTAGTCAACTGATGTTAACTAATGTATGGAAGCCCCCTTAGACTGGTCTCAGTCACTG